TTTCAACTAGTTCTGGGCATCTAATAGAGAATGTACAGTATTTCCTAAGGGTGTTGCAGCAAGGAAACTAACTGTGCCTTGTGACTTCTAACTGGATTACAGTACCTGCTTCCTGATTTCAGCTACTATAGTTTGTATTCAGTTTTTTTGGCTCGTCAAGAACATTGTTCATGGCTTTGTGTGGCCTAACCTGTTGTGCCTTGCATGCTATAAATGTTCAATTATGTCAGAAAATGGCGATTTGGTCTTATGCTGAGCATGTGCTACTGCTGGCGAATGGGATCAGGTTAAGCTTTGTGTTGCTGTTCTTTTGCATAACCTAAAGTAAATAAGGAAAACCAGCTGTTAAATAGTTTAATTCCACTATTTATCCTCCACACAACTAAAAGGGACCTCTCAATGCAGTGCCAAATCAGACAAACCATTTCTAACTTAATATAGGCTTAAGCTGTAGCTGGGCAGATTTGCACAACTATCTCATCTGTCACTGAGACATTTCTATAAGCATGGGGAGGAGGTGGATGAAAGGAAATGTAAAATATAGGTAGAGTGGTATAGGTCTTATCACTAGCTGATAATGATCTATATTAATGCCACTGTTGATTTCTGTTCACTTTACATGGTTCAAATGTTATTCTGTTATAGTTTATTAAATATTTTATTACACTATTTGGTTCAGAATATATTTTCCCTGTGTTCCTCCTCTAAAAAGTAGGTGCGTCTTAAGGTCAGGTGCGTCTTATGGAGCAAAAAATACGGTAAGTAGGAAAGAAGGGGTTGCAATGCTGAGGAATCAGGAAGGCAATGGAGATAGTAAGAACATAACAAGTTCTTCTTACTGGCTAATTTCTATGAATTAAAATTTTAGCTGAAGGATTTACTCTACATTCCGGGGGGGCGGGGGCGGAGGGAAATGGCCACATACAGCCATAGAAAGCTCTTTAAACAAATTATTGTTTAACAGTATAAATTAAACTTAGTTAAAATGCTCTATTTTTCTGCCAAACAGCATAAAAAGTAGTGTGTAGCACATTTCTTGGAAGCACCGAAAACATGCATATTCTGCCCCTGTTTATATTCAAGGCAGTTGCTAGAAACATGACAATTTCCTAACTCTTCAGGATTGGCAAGTTAAGGCTTTGAAAGTCTCAAAATACCATGAAATTTGGACATAACAAGAAAAAAGGCTGGATTTAGGTATCTGCTGTAGATTATTTTGAGGATTAAATCCCAAAACAGACTTCCTCAAATTAGTTCCTGCACAATGTTTTGGAGCACAATGCAAATAAGCCACATCAGCATGGCTAACTGAAAAAGAGGATGGCAGTTGTAATCTAAACATGTGGCAGGAACCAGATGGAGAGGGAGTCTGCCTTAAGGAGACAAGTGAATTGCAAAAGGCTGACTGTTACTGCATGATCACAGAAGTGGGCTGGGCTACCATACCCAGGAAGCTGCTCCAACAAGAAATAATAAAGTTAACCTTATTCAAACAGATGTCTTTCAGTTTGCAGAATGAAACAGAATCAAACCTGCATGAACAGATTGGTATTAATTTTAACCCTTATCTAGCAACATTTCTCTAGATATATTTTTCTGGACCACTGACTATTAGGTATCATATGGATTTTTTTATTAGTCTGAAAGAAATACCGAAATATTTCTGCCTAAATCTAAACAATTTCCAATTTTCAAAAATATTTTATTTATTTATTCAATTTGTATCCCACTCCCATTAGTATCACAGCACTACTCTGGGAGGGTTACAACAAGTAAAACAGAAAACAAAACTAAAAATAGAGGTATTAAACCACCAGTAATAACCCTAAAAAACCCCAAATGGCACCGACTAATCTCATCACGCATTTCAACAGCATTTTATTTTCTACAGAAGCTCTTCTTGAAGAGTTTTAGTGCTACCACTTTGTTACAATTATACCAGTGACCAAAAAATCTAAAAAGACAACATACATCACTGAAACATTATTAGAAAAATATTTCAAGATCAAGATGTAGTGTTATCAATTTTATTACTTGGTCCAAAAAAATCATGTTGCTAGATGTGCTTTGTAAATTTTACAATGTGAGGTTACAACCACTGCTCCAAAGTAAAAATACTGATGCTTATTTCACACCTTATCTGAAACATTACTTACCAGCCACCCGTTCATCTGCTTCCCTGTTTCCATCATCTGAATATCTTGCAAAGTCCAAAGAATCAAGAGTGCTAATGCTTCCCGCTCGATCTACAAAAAACAACAACACTTATTTGAAGAAAAGACCATACAATTGTGATCCAGAAGATCAATTCATAAGAGTCACATATATTTGAAATCTGCTTGGGGCTTTCACTACAACACTTCATACACAAAATAATTCACACATATGAACAAGACAGAGCACTAGAAATCTGATGACCGGCTTCACTGGGACTGCAAAGACTATACTGCCAGCTTTAAGTTGCATTTCTCTTCATTTACATTATTATAAAATGTTTCATTATACTCCGTTCTCTTCACCTCCACTTTCTCCCCCTCCCCCCCCAAAAAAGATCTTTTAAAGTGTAATTATTTAAACGGAGAAAGAATACATGAAAATCAATCCAAGGAGGATACAGGGACCATGCAAGCACAGCATCTATTTCATAAAGTTATACAGAATACACTACAGCAATAAAAGTGACTTTCCTTGTGATTAATAGGAGGAAGAGGAAAAAGTGGAAGCACAATGGCTGCAGAGGAAGCAAAGGAGCGTCTCAAATACCATTATGTTCCCTTCAGCTGAATGCTTCTTTAGCATCAGTTATGAGCAAGGTTCCTTCTAATTTTCCAGAGCACTGGCATGGCCCCCGCCTTGTGCATGGAGGGTTTCTGGCCATAACTGGAAGCAAAAGGACAGCAACACTGGCTTGGCTGCCTGCCCCTGCCAATGCAGTGCTATACGGTTGCAGAGCTTATGAGAAAATTATATGAATGCCTATTGCACTTAAATCTTGAACATACACATATTCAGTAGTAGTCCCCTCCAGCCAAATCCTGTTCCCATAACTATTTGCAGAGTAAGCTGATGATGCCATTAGCTTGTACAAATAAAATTTATTTTAAATTTATTAAATGTTTCCTATACCCCTGTTGGAAGTTCTGAGGATCCCTAGGGTTTCCTTTTGCCTTGGGGAAGGCTTTGGGAGCCTCAGGATGGGGAAGTCTTTAATTGTCAAAAAACACTATTAAATTGCTGCTGCCAGCAATATGGTGACAATTTTTGGCAATTAAAGACTGCCCCTCTCCATCCCAAGGCTCCAAAGACTACCTCAGACAAAACAGAGCTCTAGGGAATCTTGGAACTCTGAAACTCTAGTAGGGGAATGAGAAGGGAGGGAAGGGAAGGGGAAGGAAGGCACACAAGTGAACATAAAGAAAACAAGCAAATCCCACCCAACCCACAGACGTAAATATAATAAATGTATAAGAAAAAATAATAATAACGTATCCACAACCCAGCCTGTTCACCCTCTTACAGTCCATAACAGAGGCCATGCAGCTTCCCCGTCTGAAGAGGGAAAAGAGCTATAGAGCTGCATGTCATCAACATACTGATGAGACTGCACTCCGAAATCTCTGAATAACCTCCCCCAGCAGCCTCATACAAATGTTAAACTGGGGTGAAGACTGCCCCTGTCTCTACACTGCAGAACCCACTGAATCAAAACAGCCTCTCGAAGCAGTACCATCTGGGACTGGCTTTCAAGGAAGGACTGGAGCCAGTGTAGCACTAGCCCTCTGATTCCCAACCTCAATAGCCGATTCAGAAGGATATCATGGCCGATGGAATCAAGGGCTACTGAGAGATCCAGGAGAATCAACAGGGTTACACTCTCTCATTTAGCCTTCCTGAAGAGGTCATCGAACAGGATGACTGGAACTGTTTCAGTCCCATCGCACAGTGTAAACCCTGAATGTAAGACTAGTGGTGTCCTCCAAGAATGTCTGCAACTGGTCAGTCAACACCCTCCCAATCAGCTTTCCTATGAACAGTATATTGGCAGCAGGATAAAAGTTGTTTAAATTGTCTGTTGCCAAATTGGTCTTTTTAAGAATGGGTCGGATTATTGTCACCTTCAAGCAGGGGGGGTTATATCTTTCCTGCAAGGAGCTATTTATGCTCTAGACAGCCCATTCCACTGTCATTTCCTTGGCTGGTTTAATAAATCAGGAGAGTCTAATCCTGTGGTAATGGCCTTCCAACATGCAAATGCCTTGTCCATGTCACCAGGTAATATAAACTAAAATTGATCCAATACAACTGGAGAAGACAGTGCATTGGACATTTCAATCTGACCCACTGCCACCATAATCTCACACTAGTAAGAAATTTTACTAGTGTGAGTTCATAACATCATCAGCTTTTGCTGCACAAGGTTATGTGAACAGGATTTTGGACACTGCATGCAGAATTCTATCACAATACTTTAGAGAGTTAAGCTGAATCCCCTCAAACCAGAATTGTTGATTCTTGCTTCTGTACAGCATGAAATTTGCAACTCTCTACCAAGTACTGAAATAGTAGAAGAAACTGAGCTGTCTCAAAAGAATCAAAGATACTAGCCCAATACTAAATAGCCAGCACAGTACTGTATTACTAGCCATTTCAGTATTTGATTGGCTGGCTCCAGTGAGGAGCTAGCCACTGAGCAATTAATGGCTATGATTTACACTTGTTTGCTACTTGTATCACACTGCCCTACTCAGATGCAGAGCAGCTACAGTTTCCTTTCCTTCCTTTCTGCAAAACTTTCTCAAACGTTATTCAGGTTTTCCCCAGACTGGAGTAAGTTTATGAACAGCACAGAAAATGAGCAACAAATTGTGCTGCAAACACACTCAGTAATACATCTATCAATGAGAAAATTGTATTTGGGCTATTGCAAATGTACTTGAGATTTGGCTTTTTAAAGAAAATTCATAGAGCTACATAAGTGTTTTCCTGTATACTTTACTCTGGTTGACCCACTGAGTCACAAACCTACGTTACCAGTTTATTTTGCTCTAACTTCCTGGTTTACAGGTTGAACAAGTTATTTTGGCAACCTGTTTTTTAATTATTTCATAATACTCCACACCCTTCCATTATTTCTTGCTATTCTCCATTCTCAAGTGAAAAAAAATTCTATTTCAAGATATATAATACTAGGCACAAATTAGTGAAATACTTAAGTGTTAAATAAAATATACAGTACCAAGGAGTTGAAATAATTTTATTTAAATTAAGCATGCTCGAGGCATACGGTGCACTTTGATTTCCCAAGATGTTTGTCTCAACATGTTGGCAAAATTAATGAGAAAAAAAAGAAAAACAAAATATTGTGGCACTTTAAAGACTAACAGGTTTATTTCAGTGTGAGCTTCTGTAGATTAAAATTTGTTGCACAAGTTATTTTGGCAACCTGTTTTTTAATTATTTCATAATACTGTACTCCACACCCTTCCATTATTTCTTGCTATTCTCCATTCTCAAGTGAAAAAATTCTATTTCAAGATATATAATGCTAGGCACAAATTAGGGAAAAACCTAAGTGTTAAATAAAATATACAGTACTGAGGAGCTGAAATAATTTTATTTAAATTAAGCAAAAAGGACATGCACAGGAATTTAAAATTTCCCAAGATGTTTGTCTCAACATGTTTGCAAAATTAATGAGAAAAAAAAAGAAATATTGTGGCAGTGTGAGCTTTTGTAGATCAAAATTCACTTCTTCAGACATATCAGACTAGATTTTGATCCACGAAAGCTCCCACTGAAATAAATCTATTAGTCTTTAAATTGCCATAATATTGTTTAGCCCACAGCGCCACCACGTCCTCCTGTTAGTCTTTAAAGTGCCATAATATCTTTGCCTCTTTCTTTTTACCTCTTCTTCCCCTTCCCCTCCCGATCTGCCAACAGGAATATTCAAGAATGCAAGGAACATTTGCAATAGAGTAGTCTTCCCAAACCTGGCACTCCTGCGACATCATCTGTCCCAAGAAGCATGGCTAATGGTCAGGAAATATATTAATTTCAGTCCTAAACATTTTGAATACATAAAGCTTAGGAAGGCTGTGCATAGATTTGTTTTCTTGCTTAGATAATTCTTATTTATATCTCAGAATGATCTGTGTTACAGCATTGTGTTTGTAATGTCTTCTAACTGATGAGAAACCACTGTTATTAAAAAAAAAACAATCCATATATAAACATTCAGATGCAAGTATTTTTATTTAAATCTGCAACACACAGAACTACTGGGTAACTCCAGCATTGTGTTTGTAATGTCTTCTAACTGGTGAGAAACCACTGTTATAAAAAAAATATACAAATGGTTTAGGTATCTGGCTGTGCAGCCCGAGTTTAGGAGTTCAGTTCCCCACTGTGCCATCTTGACAGGGGATGAACTTGATGATCCATAGGGTCCCTTCCAGCTCTGAAGTTCTAAGATGATGATGACTGATTTGCTAAATTGTAGGGAATTTTTGGAAAGGTACCATAGCTCATGCTTCTGAAGAAGTACTTAGGGGCTAGCTGCTGATGTGCTGATCCACCCACCTAATTCTTCTGCATATAAGCACTGTGTTCCCTTAAGAGAAAAGAAGAAATGAGTGCATACTGAGGCTCTATGGAGAAACAGTGGGGAAATGCAAAGCATGATAACATGTCTCAGTATTTTCTGGCATGTCTACAAATGTATAAAGAGCAAATGTTCTACAGTGGTGTCTCGCTTAACGGGTGCTCCGTTTAGCGATGAAACCGCATAGCGATTAAGTTTTTGCGATTGCAAAAGCAATCGCATTGCGATGTTTTAAATTTTTTTTTTTCGCTTTGCGATGATCGCTTCCCTGTTTCACTTACCGATCATCGCAAAGAGATGATTTTTTAACAGCTGATTGACAGCTCCAAAATGGCTGCCGGGTAAAAAAATGGCTGCCTGCTGTGTGTAGGGATGGATTCCTCGCTTAAGAGGCAGCGAAAATGGCCACCATATGGAGGATCTTCACTTTAAGGTGAGTTTTAAGCCCACAGGAACGCATTAAACAGGTTTTAATGTGTTTCTATGGGCTTTTTTTATTGCATAGCAACGAAATCGCTTGGCAGCGATTTTTGCTGCACGGATTAACGTCGCTATGCAAGGCAAGACTGTACTGTACTTCCTTTCACACACCTGTATACAGTATGATGTACTGTATGTGGCTAGCCATCAATGGAGCAGGAC